GTGTCAGCAGTTCTTTTCCCAAAGCAGCAGCAGCAAGGGGCTCTTCTGTTTCGGTGGATCTTTTATTGTCTGAATCTAGGGCCCTTTGCCGACACTGCTGTTGGTCCATGAGCTTCGTACAGAGATAAGCCTCAACCTCACTCATTTGTTCCTTCATCTCGCATTTCCATGCCTCTAACGCCTGCTTGAATTCCCGTAGTTGGACTGTTAGGATTTCTTTGAATGTATTTTCCACATCACTGGCATTCTCTCCATAAGCTGTGACATTGCCTGAACATCTTGCTTCAATTCATTTTGCGAGTCTCTAGTTTCGCGTACCACTTCCTGAATTTCGAAGGTGTCATTCTGTATTGTCTGTTCAACAAGTTCATTCATCTGACTCTGAAGTGACGACAGCTGATCACTCAAGGGGTCTCTCACAAGCAGCTTCACTTCTTCTAGGCCAGCTCTCAGGTGGCGAGTCATCATCGAGGTGATGTTCGACTCTATGCCTTTCATTCCGCAGCTCACAGCTTCGAAATCTACGGAGTCCGCTTTTCTGGAGAGATCGTTCACTTGTCTCTGAAGAGCAGACAGCTTTTCTAACACTGCATCCTCGTAACAACTGGCAAATGCTCTATCTTGAGTGCTTGGCTGACCATCTCTTGCGCCAGAAGCATTCTGCGAGCACCCGGAAACATAGTGGGCTGCAATGTCAGTGCGCAGTATTCTTCGTTCGCAGCGTCGACACTGGAGGGCGTGGAAGAGGCAGTCTCTGTCGAAGTGCTGCAGAACGGCTTCGATGGTTCCCACAAACTGGCAGCCGTTGACCTCATTCCAGCAATGAGCCTGTAAAGTAAGCGTACAATAAAAGCATGAACATAGCTGCTTTGGAGAAACCACGTACGTGTTGTGTAAGCACAACGAGAGAGCCAGTCCAATGCGCAAGCATTTGAATAGGGCATCGAGGTGAGCCCCAGGCCTTATGTTTTTTCTTATTAAAGCTAGAAAGACTGCACGTTTATTACGAACGAGTGGTTTGAATCAAACTAAAGACAAAAAAAACATGAAAACTCTTTTTAAAGCTTCTTTGGCGGCGTTAACATTTCCTTGCGTTGGCCTGTTTCGCTAAGTAGTCGAGTTATGGCTAGTATAAATTTTACGAATAAAATTTGCGCTTAGATATTGACGCAATAACATCGCGACCATAAAGGCGATCCAAACCATCGGCTGCAATGTTACTATCTTTGTTAATGTCATCTGCGTAAAATTAAAAGTACATGCCGAAATAAATAAATAAATAAATAAATAAATAAATAAATAAATAAATAAATAAATAAATAAATAAATAAATAAATAAATAAATAAATAAATAAATAAATAAATAAATAAATAAATAAATAAATAAATAAATAAATAAATAAATAAATAAATAAATAAATAAATAAATAAATAAATAAATAAATAAATAAATAAATAAATAAATAAATAAATAAATAAATAAATAAATAAATAAATAAATAAATAAATAAATAAATAAATAAATAAATAAATAAATAAATAAATAAATAAATAAATAAATAAATAAATAAATAAATAAATAAATAAATAAATAAATAAATAAATAAATAAATAAATAAATAAATAAATAAATAAATAAATAAATAAATAAATAAATAAATAAATAAATAAATAAATAAATAAATAAATAAATAAATAAATAAATAAATAAATAAATAAATAAATAAATAAATAAATAAATAAATAAATAAATAAATAAATAAATAAATAAATAAATAAATAAATAAATAAATAAATAAATAAATAAATAAATAAATAAATAAATAAATAAATAAATAAATAAATAAATAAATAAATAAATAAATAAATAAATAAATAAATAAATAAATAAATAAATAAATAAATAAATAAATAAATAAATAAATAAATAAATAAATAAATAAATAAATAAATAAATAAATAAATAAATAAATAAATAAATAAATAAATAAATAAATAAATAAATAAATAAATAAATAAATAAATAAATAAATAAATAAATAAATAAATAAATAAATAAATAAATAAATAAATAAATAAATAAATAAATAAATAAATAAATAAATAAATAAATAAATAAATAAATAAATAAATAAATAAATAAATAAATAAATAAATAAATAAATAAATAAATAAATAAATAAATAAATAAATAAATAAATAAATAAATAAATAAATAAATAAATAAATAAATAAATAAATAAATAAATAAATAAATAAATAAATAAATAAATAAATAAATAAATAAATAAATAAATAAATAAATAAATAAATAAATAAATAAATAAATAAATAAATAAATAAATAAATAAATAAATAAATAAATAAATAAATAAATAAATAAATAAATAAATAAATAAATAAATAAATAAATAAATAAATAAATAAATAAATAAATAAATAAATAAATAAATAAATAAATAAATAAATAAATAAATAAATAAATAAATAAATAAATAAATAAATAAATAAATAAATAAATAAATAAATAAATAAATAAATAAATAAATAAATAAATAAATAAATAAATAAATAAATAAATAAATAAATAAATAAATAAATAAATAAATAAATAAATAAATAAATAAATAAATAAATAAATAAATAAATAAATACTCAGTACACGAAGCTGTAACCAAACCGTCTCCCTAGAGATGTGCTTCCCAATCAGATGCTTACACTTACAGATACCTACAGATGATACTTACACGTACATTCAGTGTATTGCCTAACAGTGAATTTTCATGTCTTGTAAAGTTTATTATTTGATGTTACTATGTTTGCTCTTGGTTATGGTTTGTTTGTTTTTTTGTACCCCGCTTCCATCTGTAGAGCTATTAGCGATTGAGGGTAAAGTAAATAAATAAATAAGTAACCATATAAATAAATAAATACTCAGTAAACGAAGCTGCAACCAAACCGTCTCTCTGGAGATCTGCTTCCCAATTAGACACCAACTAGAAAATGCAGCGTGAGTAGTCTTTATGCGACTGTTCAGTAGCTTAATAAAAATTAATCCTAGAAAGCATTCGTTCACCTGAAGTTGCTACCTATACTAAGTCTCTAATCTGATCACACTGGCACATGTAAATTGTGAACTCTTAAAAAATTCTATGCCTAGTTTCCAGGACATGTGTAGTATTGTATGCCGAACTACATTAAAGGTACATAAGGTTTTTTTTTTTTCAGTGGAGTCTAATGGAATTGCAAGTTGCGAAGAGGTGCAATACGTTGTAACGAGAAGCAAGAAGGTATACCAGCATATCGACGGAGCTGGAATGCTACAGGCCTGTGTAAGTATATTTAGGGGCACGTTAAAGAACGTCAGGTGGTAAATTTCCGGAGACCTTCACTACGATGTTCCTCATACTCATATGGAGGTTCTCGTGCGTCATACCAAAACCATTATACGTTATCAAAATTGTTGTTCGACCGCCATGATTTTTCGGTGTAACGCAAGCTTCATAGGCTCCGGTCCTCTGGCTCGGAGTCGCCAGATGCCGAGGCAGCTCGCAAACAGAGCGTGACAGGCACTGTACCAACCGAACACATTGGTGATCTAAAAGAAGCCCGCCTGTAGCGCCACCGTGCAACCAGCGCGTGAAGCTGGCGGGTAAACAGTTCTGCTAAAGTAGTTCTGCGCCGCGTCGCCTGAATCGCACCGATCAGTCGTACATCTCCAACATAGCTGGGCGCAGACTTTCGAGCTCAGCCCACAAATCTGGCGATCGTCATCGACCGAGCTGCTATCTTCAATACAAATCACGTGACTGTGCGCTGCACTAACGAGAGCACCGACATTTCCTCCACCTTCACCAGCCGCCTCCTTATTGAAATTGTGCATTTATGGTTCGTAGATGCGAACTCGCCACACACACACGCTCAGCAGCGCCACTGACAACGCAGGTGCAAGAAGTATGACGCCCCCGCCGATGTCCGCCTCCGAAATGTGCGCTCGCGCTGATGGTGCTGTTTACCTGATTCACCTGCCGGCAGCCACTTGATTCTCCGGCTTGTGTCATGTGATCCGTTCTCCCAGTCAGATCGTGCCACGTTCTCACTTCGACGTTAGAGCAGTCGGAAGCGCTCCGAGTCGGAGGCTTACGCTGTGAAACAATTAAACAAAGGTAATCCGAGCACTCGAAATCTTCCAACCGAAGGCTTAGCCACTTTTCGGAGCGCTCGATTGATGTGGGGGGTTTCACGTCCCAAAACCACCATATGATTATGAGAGATGCCATAGTGGAGGGCTGCAGAAATTTAAACCACCTGAGGTTCTTTAACGTGCACCCAAATCTGAGCACACGGGCGTACAACATTTGCGCCTCCATCGGAAATGCAGCCACCGCAGCCGGGATTCAATCCCGCGACCTGCGGGTCAGCAGCTGAGTACCTTAGCCACTAGACCAGCGTGGCGGTGCTTTTCGGAGCGTTCCAGAGCGCTCGTGAATGCCCAGCCGAATGCAGCATTAGTTACCTGATAATCAGGTAATGAGCACAGAACCTTTGCTGCATGTTCCAAAACAATACAAGAAAAAAACAGTCTTAGTATAACCTAAAAGGTTCCAGTTATACAAGACTAGCAAACTTGCTAGAGGTATATTCATATACGAAGGTGCAACTTCATAAAACAAAACTACCATGTTTTAGCACTGCGCGATTCCAGCTAGAACGTTTTGTTCAGCACCTCAAGTTCACTGGCACGCAATGATACAGATGTGCGTTTGCGCACGTGTTGCCTTTCTGTATGACGAAATATGGCTTTGATAGCTCGCGAGATAATCTATGTTTACGTCTACTTGGTTTTTGTTTTTCTCAAGCCGCGCTTCACCGTTTCTGCAAGTGCCGCAAAATCATTCATAGAATTTCTTGTAGCGAAGTCGAAAGCCCCGTTCCTTTAACGTGAAGTACCCGACGTTGCGTTGGACCATAGACTACCATTCAGTACATTGAATGTGGTTGGCATGCCTGGCTTACCCACCTTGTTCAAATACTTTCTCAATCTACACAGATCCTACTGTTGGGCTTAAAGCACAAGTATGACATTGGTTGCTGCTCAATGACAGCTTCTTAAGGTATTGGTTCTAACAGCACATCGGTTCTGCCAAATTTTTTTATCGTACTCAAACATGAAACAACGCGAACTTTATGACGAATGGCACTGTTGTACATTTATTACGGAGAATGTCTGCGGGAGAAGCATAGATATTCCCTCGGCATTAAGAAATATATAGTATGAGTCGTGTACATAGTAAAGTTCTTAGCAAGCGCCATATTGTCCTACTGTTCCAGTTTAACATCGGGCCGTAAAATCGATTTACTAAATGAAGGCCTCCGAAACAGCCATGTCCATTCTGCCACGATATCACAACACTGTCAATGAGGCTAACGTCTGGGGTTAACATGCATTTCTGATTTTAATCAGAAATAATATCACGGTCACATTTAATCACATACAAACTGTACTCGCTAGGGCGGCTTAACCCTAACTACTGCAAAATGTAAAGTGTGTATCTAAATGATCGCGAACGTTTCTTAAATATTGACGAACATCGACAACTGTCACATCATTCGCCATTGAAGTTGGCAACTTTTACTACAACAGTTCCTTGTCGACGAAATGCCCGTTTACTAGCGAAACCTGCATAAAATTACGGCGGACTCCTAGGCCTTTTCAGGTGGTCGCATTATAAGAGTCGCGAAAGTCTGTTGCAATATATATCCGGCTGCTTTCATTCTAAGCAGCCATACCATATTCCAACAGACATCGATCCACGCCATATGGATGTAGCATGACTGAGCAAGGAGGGGACATTAGTAAGAGCCGATTGTAAAGTCTGATTTTTTTTTCGAGACAGTTTTATTTTGAGTGTGAGGATAAAATTGGAAGTTTACATTACACCTCATCAGGTATTTGACCAAATATTTGACAACCTCGAATTTTTGGTCGACAACGAGAAATAAGGCGCGGATGCCAGCACTCTGCTACTCTACAAAAGGTGCGCGTGTGAAACTAGAGTAACTGTATATGCTTTCTAGGGAAGCAGAGTAGTGCATAGGTCGACCTTTTTCCCTGCTTAGTAACCATAGTTACGCGGCGAAAGCCGCGTTCTCTTTTTGCTGGCGACTTGCTTAAGCCTGTCGCCGATCGACGAAGCCTGTCGTCGATCACCAGTTCACATGCCTGGCGTGTCAACGACCAGCGAAGAAAGAAAAAAACACCTACTTTCGGGACTGTTGCACGAGAGTTCAAAAGCATTTTTAGTCTCTCCTGCAACGCGAAGCGCAAAGGCACAGCATGAAACCGAATAACATTCGCCGCCCCTGCTGCATGGTCAAGTGGCGCCAGCTATGGAAGACGAGCAACAACTCAAATACACAAGATATAGTTCCTCCGGGATTCAAGGAGCGTCCCACTAAGCGTACATCATTGATTATTTCAGTATGTTTTCGAAAATCGCGCTGAATACACGCAAATACTTTGCTGTCGAAGCCTTGGGGACGTAAATCTAAAGCAAATAGAAGCACCAGTTTCGCAGCTAACGACTACAAAGAGCACGACAGTCACTTTATAGATTCCAGGTGGACGGCGATCGCTATTCTGCTGTGCAGCCTGTGCACCAGCTTTTCCGCAGTGCATGTTTGCTAGCGGCATTGAAAAACAAATGCGCTACTGTACTACCTATAGGTAGCATACACAGTTACTCTATGTGAAACTCTGGTGGAGACGCCGGGTACGTATACCCAGGCTGTGTCAGCCATCACTCCTAACACCTTGGAGACAGCTACATTTCCCTGAACAAGAAGCAGCCACCGTCTGCGTGGGTTACCCTCTGAATTCAGCCCGTTGGCGTCGACACCCAGAAGATGACAACTTCGATGACAAGCCAGGTGGTTCAAACCAGCGAGGCCCATTGTTCTCCTCTTGTGCATGTTTTCCATGCGCCACAGACACCTGAACCATCTCATGGCGACATCTTCGAGGATGTTGATTGGCTCGACCACTTGGACCAGGTTGCTAGTATCAACGAATGAGACAATTTTCGCAAGCTGCACCGAGTTTATTCCTACTTGGAATATTCTGCGAAGACGTGGTATAAGAACCACGAGGGATCCTTTGTGATATGGCAAGAATTTAGCCGACAGCTGCGCGACGCCTACCGCAACGACAGAAGAAAGGAGAGGGCTCAACAAGCCATATCCTGCAGGAACCAGTGGTCGAACCAACTAGTTTCTATGTTTGTCGGGGACATGCTTCGACTTTGCAGTCGCACGGACCCTGCCATGTCGGAGGAAAAGAAAGTGTGGCCTTTGGTGCGTGGAGTAAAAGAACAGCTTTTCGCTGGACTCATCCTCAATCCACCGGTGACAGTCGCAGAGTTCACCAGTGAGGGGACCACGATGGAGCGTACTCTGCAGCAGTGGTCGTCACAATACGAACGCCACATCCCGGCCACCGCATGCTCTATCGGCTCTGACAGCGAAAAACAGGCCCTCACCGACTTCATGTGAAGTAACGTGCGCGACGAACTGCGACAGCTTCAGGCAGTGGGATCCAGTCCACCTGTGCCGGCCCTCGTGGATGTAATCTGACAAGAAATCAGGCAGGCAGTCGCACCACTGCCGCCAATCGCACCACCAACATCCGAGGCCCCAGTCCTGACATATGCCGCGGCATTGCGATCCCCCGAGCCACCAGCTACAGATCCCGCAATGCGGCCAATTAGCCTGGCTATGCACCCATTCCAGGACACTGCTTCCAGTCCGCCTCTCGGCTCAAGTTTTCAGAGCGCACCGTCCTACCTGCCTCAAGGCAGAGTGCTAGCAAGGTAAGCACGTGGCGCACCTCAGATAACCATCCACTCTGCTATCACTGCGGCGAAGCCGGTCACGTCTACCGTAACTGCCAGTACCACCAAGTAGTTCTCCACGGCTTCCACCTTGATGCTCGATGCCCACGCTGTACGGTGAGCGCCCCTTGAAATCAAAGCGTATTTCACGGGCCAGCGAACTTCATCGATTACCCTGCACCTCCACCAGTAATGTCGCAAGCCAAACAATACCAACAGCCAAGAGTTGACCAGAACCAGATCAACGAAATCGTTTTCTTCTTCCAATTCAAAACGTTTATAAGCCACAGTGGCTCGCTATTCAATGGTGGCTTGAGTTTGTATGCAGTTACCCTATGCGAAACAGCCTTTCCGCGCCAGATAGCTGTGCGCCATGTATACCATCGACCACTGTACAGAGCCGGAAACAGGTCTCCTTGTTAATCACTGGCCTTTCAAATTTTCTAGAGGCACGTAGCGCTTATTTAGAAGTTTTCACGCTTAGTTCTTATCTTCCATATGACCGTCACATTGGTGTTTTCAAAGCAAGATTGAAGCTATCACAGAGTTCCTCAAATCGCATATCGTTGGCTAGGTATCACATTGCGATAAAAATTGGGACAGATAACAGTTCTTGTTATAGACTACTCTCGAGGCAAAGGCAAGAAGTTGCAGATGCCGATACGTGCGTAGCGTTAAAAAGTGAATATTAGTAAGCTGTCGGAACATATGATACAGGCCAAAGATTAAAGGAGGGGTGCTTCTCGGGCGCTTCTGGCTGTCCACAACCGCTGACGAAATGAAAGTGATTGATATGTGTTGTTTAACGTTCCAAAACCACCACAAGACTACGAAATACGCTTTAGTGGAGAGCTCCGTAAATGGCGACCACCTGGGGTTCTTTAACGTGTGCCAAAATCTGAGCCCACTGGCCAACAGCAGTTTTGCCTTCATCGAAAATGCAGCCGCCGCAGCCGGGATTCGATCCCGTGATCAGCAGCCGATTACCTTAACCACTATAGAGCATCCTGACGGGACGACGCAACGCAAGTGTCGCGAAGAGGTTATTTGCTATGCTCAAGCGTGGTCCGTAAGCTTTTGTGGTCGAATGTATGTACGTGAGCTTGTGCTTATTTGGACGCAGTGCCTAATCAACAAGCCCCAATTACATTTACGCAGTGGCTGCAAGAGTTTTCTGTGGAGGCTATTTCTTTGCGTATGTCTTCTTTACTGTCATGACACCTGACAGAACCTAAACTAGCTTCCATCACCTGTTAGTAACTGTTCCCTAGCCTGCAGACTGCTTTCGCTTGACGCCTGGCTGGTGGACAACCGCTTTTCGTGACCGTTATACCGTACCGTGGTGGCACGGTACAGGTACGTAGTACATTATGGCCGCAAAGGAGAACATTTCACTGAACTGTTCAAGGGCTATCATGAAATGCAAAGTTAAGGAAAGGTCAGCGCCATTTTTAAACCTAACCAACTCACTTTTCAGCGGTTCAAACCAAATGCTGCTGATACATAACATTGACCTTCAGGTTGTGTTTCGCCTTGGCAGGAAGCTTTAACTTCTGGCACTCATCTTCGCAGAAAGGCTGGGCGTCCAGGGGACAGACGCTGCCACCATCTTGGATGACACACCCCGTCACACACTGCTCGCACAGAATGTGGGAACAAGGCAGCAGTACCATCGTGCTCGGAATGACGTGGCACACGCAGCAGGCGTATCGAATCGACGTCAACTCGTCCTCGAACCGCATCGGGCGCCAGTTCGCGCCGCTCACCGAGTCGCACAGTTGCTGCATAGCTCGAGGCCCTCCGCGTTCTGGCCTGGTGGCGAGGACTGTGAAAGTTGGACTGCTTCGGCTAGAGTGACCTACAAACTTTGGCTGCAATCGCATTCGGGGCGACGCGCACGTTCACTTCGAATCACGTGACTGCTGATATTGACGTCACCAATGGGTGGTGCCGTGGCTGCCGCTGCGCGAGTGTGGGCGCCGATATCTGCACACCAACGTTGATGTACACAACGTTTTTTTTTTTTTTTTACTGTAGTATACATACGTCCCGCAGTGCCACTATTCGCATTGCGCTTCGACTCTTTTCCGAACGCAACTTACTCACTCGTTTTGTCCACAGATCAGCAGTGAGATGCAACCGTTTTGTAGTATTATGTAGTGAATAACGTCGCAAATGACACGGACAGTGAGAGACACAATAGCACAAGGACTTACTATAAGAACATGGGCGCGAAAGCACTGTCTTTCATAAGTGCGTTTTCGCAAGGGCCATTCGTTAGCCGGCTTCGCTAATAATTTGTCTTGCGTGGTAATTAGCTGAAATATCGTCTTCTTAAGGACATTTTTGAGTAGGACACTTTTCCAAATACGGTCCCTAGTATGTTCGACGCAGGCAGCGAAAGAAAAAGCACAGTCTTCCCAGCATCGGTGTCCGCTGTGGTGGCGTGGTAGTCACGGTGCCCGTCTGCCAACTCGAAAGTCGAGATTTTCACCCAGGCCACCAAAGTCGCATTTCGACGGAGGCGAAAGGCTAGAAGCCCATGTATTGTGCGGTGGCAGTGCTCGTTAAAGAACACGAGGTGGTTGAAATTTCCACGGTCCGCCACTATGACGTCCCCTCTAACCATATCGCGGATTTCATGACCTAAACCCCAAGACGTACTAATTAGTTATAGTCGAGCATGGGTGAGACCATTCAGTCTAAATTTAAAAAGCGAGTCAGGGTAGCCATATGCTGCCGAGATAAGAAGCGGATAATCAGCACAAAAAAGTGGCTGCCCCTCCGCCCCCACCCTTACATAGACAGATAATGAGCGTTATTGTGGTCCTGATGGGCAATTAGAAAAGTGCCCTTACTGGAAGAAGCCGCAGCGGGCAGCTCCCATATGGGAAAGGGCAGGCCGTGACTGACAGCTGCGCACTTTTCAAACGTCGCAGGTGCGTCTATCACGGTTAGGTATTTTGTGTGGAATGCGAGTTGTCTGCCAAGGTACGTCTGGAAAAAATATCAATTAACTGCCAGTCGTCACCGTCCAGATAACGCCGACATACAGCCTTATATTTTCTGCGCATTCAGGTGAAGCGACAATCCCGTAGCATGCGTATCATTTCTTTAGATTTTTTTTAATTTAAGGCCGCGTCACCAAGGTATATGTAAACAGGTAGCGTAGCTTCTATAGAAGCCCATGGATCCAGTAGTCGGCGGCTCGTTGCCACCGTCGCCATCTACGTGAGGATGGCACAACTAACAGCAAAAACGAACGTAAAATATGACGTCACAGCCGGAAATTCTACTGACGTCGCGAATTTTTCCTAGATGGCACGAAATTGAAATTTTTCCTAATTGCTGGCCCGCTACGTGCCTTTATTATTTCGCGATTTTATTTTGCCTCAATCGTGTCTCAATAATTGCATGCGAGAAAGAAAAGAAAAAATGACAAATAATTGAGGAAGCAAAGTTGTTTTATTAGCCAAATGACGCCCTTTCAATATGCACAAGCAACTTCGCAGAGGCAATTGTGAGAACCCTGTCACGAGCACAATAGCATAATAGTTCACAAACTCACGTTGCCCAATCGTTAAAAACTACTGCAGTGTGTTGCGAACTGAAGTCTCCCACTTATACGTCCCCCCCCCTTCCCCCCTTCGTGTTTCTATCGATGGCTGAAGCGATAGCCGTTCCCGCCCCCTTTTCCCCCTCTCCCTGCTTCGTAGGTGAAGCTACAAAAGAAGCTAGCGCGAGACAATAAAGGTTCATCTCGTTGCCCTAGTCTGCGGTTGTCTGCGTATGCTTGCCGTGGCTGAGCGGCTAGCTATGTAACACAGTGAGACAGCAGTTTTGAAAATATAGCTTTGAAAAATACAGCATGGCAAAACTTTTGAATTCTTTAAGATCGATATGCCACAGGGTGTCGTTCATGCGAACTAAACCACTGGAGTACAGAAAAGCTGAATATGAACGATCCGCGCTTCCAAAGACAAACCCTCAGTAGGCCTTTGCCGCGAGACAAATGCGGCCTTGTATTATTGCGATAGCAAATATATGGACACTCTCGGCGTGATTTCGCCGCCGGCGTTGGCGTCGCCGTCATTCACTGTATATGTATACGCGTCTATATATATATGAAAACGGAAGAAAGGAGAATAAATCAGTAAAAGGCTCCGGCGCGCGGAATCGAAAGTCCGACTTCTGAACTGTGAGTGCGAGGCGCTAGCCACTGAGCCACGAAGGAGCACCTCCTTCACCGTTCAAACGGCAAGCTATTTGTATCTACCACGTACCGCTGCCGATGGCCATCTCAGAGTAAATGTCGTATTTTCAGCACTGCCAGCGAGATGACGCAATGAGCGCGCTTCACCAGATCGCCATGACGCAGCGCGCGTGCTCCATCTACTACGCGTACTTTGCCCTGCGGAGAGGAGGGAGGGCGAACGCTCACTCACGTGCCCTTATCTCGCGGTGTAGAGGATCGTACGTCTTGGCTGGCGTTGGGCTTTCATTAGAAGATTCTGTCGTAATTACCGGGCGCACAAAGGTCACTGCATTCGTCGCACAGTGTCCGATCGCGAAACCGGCGCGCTTTTCATACACATCGAAGCAGGCGCGTAGCCAGAAATTTTTTTTCTGGGTAGGGGGCACAGTTTTCATCTCGGAAGGGGCACCCCTTATTATGACCATTTTTTGCTCCGTATGCCGTGGTGAAAAAACCTTCTATTGGGGGGGGGGGGGGGGGGCATGTGTTTGGGGTGCTACCCTCTGGCTACAACGCTGCAGTGAAGTAACAACTTCGACACTTATTCGCGTTCATCTGTACCTATGATTACGCTTCGTTTGTCATCTGTGCATGATGAACGCGGGCCAAGTTTCGATCTGCTTGCCATTCTTCGTGTGACCTTCCAATTTGTTGCTATCGCGTTCATTGCTTCACCTTTGCGGGAGAGCTGCGACTAATATTTCTTTTTTTCTTCTGCACCCACAGGTGGAAAGCCCAATTGGCAGTAACTTGTTCAACCTTGTTGAAGTCATATTCTATTGCTCACGTGTAAACTTACACATCGCGATGTACCCGAAAAAACGCCAGGCCTGCGCGGAAGGTGCAGCACATTCACTGCAAAAGCATGAAGAGCTCCCTTGCAGAGTCTTTTCTAAACACTCTTTGCGTAAATGCTAGAAGCACATTTGCTGGGAACCCACTACGTCATAAATATCCATATTTTATGCATAGTAGGCCGGCATTCACTGTGCCATTCTTCCTCATTCTTCGGAGAAGCGTTGTATCCGCTAAGCATTTGTATTGAATTCGGTGGCTGACGATGATGAAGAATTACAAATGAAGTGGGTATGTGCCACAGATGATAGGTGAAGGATAACAAGCTTTTGTAAGGTGTTGGAGCATTGGACGACCCACTCGTTACGCGATTCGCATTGTGTGACACCTGGTTGTTCCTTTGCTGTTTTATTACTCATAGTCAGCGACTTCTTTCCCGACATCGAGCCTGCCAAAGGCAAGTTTGTGGACGAGTCCCAAGCACCAGCTTGACTCAGCGGTAGAACACTTGGCTGGTAAGCAGTGGACCCGGGTTCAAAACTGACTGTCACCGCATGGGTTTGGTGCTTTTCTTATTTGAGTTTTTCTTTACTTCGTGCGATAGTTGGTTACGGAAAGCGGCGGCGTGAGACCCATGTTGTGATGTCATAGCAGCTTTCGCTGTAAAAGAAATGTGACATGCGTGTACTATACCTTGAAGATGATATGTGGGGATTAACGCCCTAAAACCAGCATGTGATTATGAGAGCACCCAGTGGAGGGCTCCGGAAATTTCAACCACCTGGGGTTCTTTAATATGCAGCTAAATCTGAGCACAAGGGCCTAGCGCATTTTGGCCTCCATCGAAAATGCAGCCGCCGCAGCTGGGACTTGATTCCGTGACATGCGGGTCAGCAGCCGAGTGCCTTAACCACTAGATCACCACGGCGGGAATATACATAGAAGTTATGAGTTTGATGACTAAAAAATTAAAATTGTAGGCAAAAAAATAATCCCGGATAAGACGCGACTCATTTCAGTAAAGCACTCGGTTGGCGTGTTCGGGTGTGGATCTAACAAAGATGAGCACACCAAAGGTTTATTCACGAAAGCATGGCTATGATCTACAATGCAACCAAAGAGCGGTCATTGTCTAAATTTCCTTCAGCCACGACACTCAATTTTCAAATGACATGCAAGTGCCGAAAACAAAGCTGAATTTAGTCCTGTGATAAAACGACGGCAACGCGTTCTACTAAAATCATGCTACGAAAGTCATATCGTCAATTACAGTGCGCACTGATAATGGACTGAATTATATACTGCAAGTAGTACAACAAGTCAAGTTGCGCGAGTCGCGCGCAAGAAACAAAAACAACAATATTCGCGATGTGTACACTACGAGCACACGTGAAAACAGCTGGCCCGGACGTCGTTTCTTTATACATAGGATTGTTAATTATTTTCCAGCCCTGGCTCTAAACCCTGTACCCGAGATTGCCTCGCTCTCCTTTTCGCCTCTATATGAAGAGAGTCGAGGTCGTCGGACACACCGCAACAGCAGTCCTCCAAAGCACCCAAAACGGAGACGAGAGCAATCAGGTACGTGTCTATGTATGCAGTCCTATCCCAAATGCTTACGGCAACATAGGGCAACCCATGCCACATGGCAAAACATATAGGCGTGCACTCTGGAGGCCAGCAGGAGTCGTCTAGCACCATAACAGTTAAGCACAGAGCAAGTCCAGTGTTCACAGAACCATGCGCCACGAGGCTTCCCGTAGTATGGAAGGCGTTCACAAAGCTCGAGCAAGTGAGGGTCCT